TGGTGTGACTCAGTGGTTGATCCGATGGAGGTCACGATTTGATTCCCATTCAGGGCACATGCTCAGGTTATGGGCTCAATCCCCAGTAAGGGGACTGCAGGAAGCAGCCCATTGATGATTTTCATCATTGATGTTTCTGTTTTCCCCTCTCCCTTCCTCTTTCTGAAATCAATAAAAACATATATATTTTTTAAAAGAATGTATGGATATTTAACAAATAAAACTTCCTCTCAGTAGAACGTGTAGCTGATTTGTTCTCTAGATGCCCATGTTTGTTGACACGTAATCTATTTATTCAAGTGTGTCATCACTAAGAACTGGAACTGGCTAAAGCACTAAGGAATTTTGAACTTATCTTTTGAGACCATAAAATATGAAAAGAGGGAGGTAGAATGATACAATGCAATGAAAAGACCAACATAAGAAGCAGGTGTCTAGTACCACTTGTGCATTAACTGCCTGTATAACCCCATGTGAGTCACACGGCTATATCTGAAACATGAGGAACTGCCATAAATTAGTGGGCAGTATCTAGAAACATTTATTATTATCATAGTTGGGATTACTACTGGCATCTAGTGGGTAGAGGCCAGCGATGCTGCTAAACATCCTACAGTGCGCAGGACAGACCCCCAACAACAAAGAACTATCTGGCCAAAATATCAACCTTGGCCTAGATAGCTGCTAAGTTCCCTTTGACTCTCGCATTCTGAGAGACTATGATGAGGCAGCACCAACTTCAAATGGATGAAGTTTTTGTCAACATCTACAAAGCAATAGCTTATAATGTTGCTCAAAATTCCTCTAAGCCAGTGGGGGAAGTTTTCCCCTCAGATATTTGGATATTCTGAAATCAGAGCTGTATTTCTGAGGGTGATGATAGTTCTTCCTTCACAACATGAAGAGACCTAGAGATGGAGGAGGCACAGTCCTCCAAGGACATGGCCCCTCTTTGCAGTTAAAATCAGTGCTTCCAAAACCATGAGTTTCCTTCTGGGAAAGCAGATTAAATAATTCTGAATCAAGGTCAGAATAAGATGTTATACACACAACAGCAGAGATGAATCTTGACTACATGATAGAAACCAAACTAAAAAAAAAAAAAAAAGAAGAAGAAGCCGCCACCAGACTCAAAAGATTACACACTGTTTTATTACTTTTGTAGACCTCCTGGAACAAAAGGTTACACTCTGTTTTATTAGATTTATAGATATCCTATAGGTAAAACTGTAGGGACAAAACACAAATCAGTGGTTACCAGTGGGTAGGGGTAAGAAGAAGTGTGGCTACAAAGCAACATGAGGGAATTTGGGGGTGATGCACTGTTTTATATATAACTAGAGGCCCAATGCACAAAGATTCGTGCAAAAATGGACTCTCTTTCCCCTGGCTGCTGGCACCGCTTTCGCTCTGGTCAGAGCTGCCTTTCAGGTCCAGCCTGGAGCCGCCTTTCCATCTTCCCTCACTGCCCCAAGGCCCTGAACGGCTGGTGTGGTGCAGAACGCCTGCATTGTCACCATGACAACAATGCAAGCATCCCTCCACCCCCAGCAGCTCGAAGCCCACATATGCAAATTAACCTGCCAGGTTTCTTTGGTTAATTTGTATACTCATTCCTGATTGGCTGATAGGCATGTTGAAGGTACAGTCAATTAGCATGTTACTCTTTTTTTTAAAATATATTTTATTGATTTTTTAAAATATATTTTATTGATTTTTCACAGAGAGGAAGGGAGAGGGATAGAGAGCTAGAAACATCGATGAGAGAGATACATCGACCAGCTGCCTCCTGCACACGCCCCACCGGGGATGTGCCTGCAACCAATGTACATGCCCTTGACTGGAATCGAACCTGGGACCTTTCAGTCTGCAGACCAACACTCTATCCACTGAGCCAAACCAGTTTCGGCATTTTTTTTTTATTTTTTTTTTTTACAGAGAAGAAGGGAGAGGGAAAGAAAGTTAGAAACATCAATGAGAAAGAAAGATCGATCAACTGCCTCTTGTACACCTCCTACTGAGGATGTACCCGCAACCAAGGTACATGCCCTTGACCGGAATTGAACCCATGATCCTTCAGTTCGCAGGCCGATGCTCCATCCACTGATCCAAACCAGTCAGGGCAGCATGTTACTCTTTTATTAGTATAGATGGTAAATTACACAACTGTGCTTGTCAAAACTCATATAACTGTACATTAAAAGGGGGGATTTACTGTATCTAAATTATACTTCAATAAGACTGATCCCTTTCTCTACAACCCCCTAAATATGATCACCAATGCTGCAAAGATAGCTGTACTTTGGGAGAGGATAAACTGGATGATACCTCTATTCCTTCCCATCCCAAGTCCTATGATTTTAGGATAATCTACTTCTCCAACTCCCTGGTGACCCCAGAGCCATAGTGATTAGAATAATATCTAGTCTCCAATATCTGTGTTAAAGTAATAAAATCCTCTGACCAAATCATGTGGATGTGAGTCCTGCCACCATTCTGGGACCTCTGGCCCTACTCCATCTTGTGACAAAGTTTCCTTTGCTTCTCTCTCCTATCCTGACTCCCCTTGGGACCAATGAGGCCTTAGACAATTAATAAACAAACAGAATCAACCTCGGGACACTCGGTTTTATCTCTCTGCACAGGCTTCCTGACCAAAATCCCATTTGATCTTTCCATCAAACTTCAAATCATATGAGGCAACAAAGGAAAAGTCATATTTATGAATCCTCCTCATCTATAGACTTCTAAGCTTCCACTAGATTATTTTTATACGTTTAAACTACATAAATGTAAAATGTAAGCCTCACACAAAATCATACCCCAGCTTATTGAGATATATATGTAGTTTTTTTATTTGCAAATATACACACACCTCCCAGATTATTGATTGTATCAAATGTTACACAAAACAGTTCGTTTTTCTTAGTTACAGAACAGCCAGCTCTAAGTGTGCTATGGCCAGGGAGGACTGAAATAGCTACCAGCATGTTCACAGTTTCCACTAATAGGAAGAGCACTGTCTTCTATGTCACAAATAGTCACAACTGTGAACTGCTGTAAACATTCCATCCTCTTATTTGAGAGTCGATTTCTTTTCTGGCTTTTCTTGGAGAATCTCAGTAAAACAAGTACAAATACCAGTAACCAGACACCTCAGCAATACTTGGGTGCTGGGATACAAATCAAGGGCCATTAGACAAGCCTGCACCTGCCAGTTCCCTCATCTCCAAAGGACAGAGAAGGCTCAGCAGGGGCCATGTAATGCCCACTCTGCCTTTTTCTGCTGAGGATTTACAGCAAATCCAGTTTGACTACAAAGGTAGGAGAAAGAACCCACAGAGACAACAAATCCCACAATGGCCTCGGGTCTTGTTTCCACATGTTCCCCTCAAAAGGTTTAGAACTTTCCAATCATCTTCAGAAATGTGCATCGGCCGAAACCGGTTTGGGTCAGTGAATAGAGCGTTGGTCTGTGGACTGAAAGGTCCCAGGTTCGATTCAGGTCAAGGGCATGTATATTGGTTGCAGACACATCCCCAGTAGGGGGTGTGCAGGAGGCAGTTGGTCGATGTTTCTCTCTCATCGATGTTTCTAACTCTCTATCACTCTCCCTTCCTCTCTGTGAAAAAAATCAATAAAATATTTTTTTTTTTAAAGAAAGAAATGTGCATCAATGGAAGGTCAGTACTGTCCTCTAAGTCACTCAATAGCATTGTTCTTATGGCATAATTAGAAAGTTTCATCAAAGACGAAAATACTGCCCTAGCTGGTTTGTCTCAGTGGATAGAGGACCAGCTGGCAGTCTGAAGGGTCCCAGGTCAGCTTCCGGACAAGGGCATGTGTCCCATTTTTAGAATGGACCCCCAGCCCTGGTCAGGGCTCCTGTAGTAAGCAACCAATTTATGTTTCTCTCTCTCTGTTCCTCTACCCACTCCTTTCTACGCTCTCTAAAAAACAATGGAAAAAAATATCCTCAGGTGAGGATTAACAAAAACAAATGAACGAACAAACAAAAAAGACTAAAATACTTAGAAAACATACTTAAAATACTTAAAATACTTAAAAAGTCAAATACTTTGACTTTTTATTCAAAGGTATATAGACAGATAGGCAATTGCTGTCCAGGGTCCCCCCCCAAAAAAAAATATTTCCCTTTCCAATGGTATTTTTTGACATACTCCTGTAGTGTTTTCTTTCAGACGTGTAAGTATGATGATACTGATCCATGAAGGCCAAATAAATAATATTTCTAATTTTAGGGATAGATTTTCATAGAATCCCTGGAGGTTCCTGGGGTAAGGGCTATTGTCTGTGGTCATAGAATTGAATGAGGCAAGGCTTGCTGGCCAACATGGGGACTGAAGTCATGACCTTGGACAGGACAAATCAGAACAATGCTGTTGCTTCACAGAAACAGAGGGAAGTCTGGTAGATCCATCCACCTGGTAAGACCTGCTGCCTCGTTTACTTGTGAGAGAGCTAGGCAGCACTACCAGACACAGGAAGCATAACCAACAGCTTTAGCTGGTCCTCTCAATCCTCACCAGATCAACAGAATTCACCTCTTATGTACCTTGCAGGCTGGCAGACTAGCTATCTAGCCCTTTACACTCAGTCTAGAAGCCTAAGCCTGAGGCACAAAGAAGATACTAGCCTCTAGGATTCCTGGGCCCTTCCATTGCATGCAAGACAAGGTCAAGTTTGACATGAGCCCACTCACTTACCATAGGAGCAGACCACTACCTAACCTAACTTGTACCCACTGAGTCATGCTGAGCCCGAAGCCTAAATAAACACTAGCCAAGTCCCATGCCCTGAGCAAGCCGTCCTTTCCTCTTTCTGCAACTGATGTCTCTCACTACCACTTTTTAGATTAAACATCATTAGTTTCTAACCAAATTACCATAAGAAATATGAAGGGTCCATATTCCATGTTAATTTCCCAATAATTATACAGTTTCAAAAAACTGATTAGAGTGAAGGAAAAATGACATTACCACATCCTGAGATGCATAGTGGGGGTCCTCTGGGTTGACAGACCAGTAGCAGTAATCAAAGCCGAATGCCACAACCTTCTCCCGGGAGTCGCCAAAGCCATCTGATCGACTGTCCACCTAAAATCAAACATAGGATTCAGTGTCTTCTCTATTATAATACCAGAATCTGGCTAGTGGCACTAGATTCCTCTCTGCTGTAGCTAGCCAGACCTGAACTGGTCATGAGAATCTTTATGATATCTATCTAAAAAAGAACACAAGTAACCTCTGTCCTCATCTTGATAAAGCCATGGAAAATTAATTAAATATCTGTCTATCATACTATCACATATCTGCCTACAAATGAGATATAGAACACCGTGGGAGAGAAACCTCACAACTCCCGGCATCTTCTTATCTCTATCGTTTTTCCCGGTATTTCTACAGCAGGTACAGAAATACATGAATACTTTAGTCCCTGGGCTGACAGGCTCTATCAACCTAAGGATTTCACAGTGAAATAGAAAGCATATTGGACAGAAGAGTTAGGACCAATCCAACTGCCCAAGGTAAATGAGGCCAGAGCTTGGAATTGTACCAACAACCTCAAGATACTGTCCTGGGGAGAATGGCGTTATTCACAGAAATGCCTGTCTTTTCTATTTAAAATTTAGACTCTGGACAGAGAGAGACAAGGTTTAGCAGTAGGATCCACAGATCACAGTAGAATGGGGCTGTCAGAATGACCAAGAGTTCTTAGATAACTGACCTCAGGGAGGCAACCAGCCAGCAAGGTGTGCAAGAGGCAGATTCGAGTTTGATCTTGGCCAGGAATTATTAAGAACCAAAAATATGATCTCTCGGAACAAAGCAGCTGAAGTGATTAGGCAACAGAGATAAAAGTAAGAGGCAGCAAAGAATAAAAGGTCTTTTGTCCACAGGGAGCTCCTGTTGATAGTTTGATGGTTCCTGTTCTCTTTTAGCGGAGGGCTACCGACAAAAGAAAACATCACATCACAGGAGTAATATGTGAGTGGACATGGCTGGGAGGCCTGGGGTCCAGATAACCCTCACTCTGTTACCCGCCACTCTCCAAGGCCAAGGAAAAGAATCACTTTCACTAGTCTGGGAAGAGAGGAATGGGATGGAGCAAATTAGCCTTAGAGGTAGAGAGGGGTAAAGGAGGAAGTACTCAGAGTTTGTCCAATTGTGACTCAAAAATCTATCAAATCTGTGAAAGAGAATTTGTAATAAGACTCAGACTAGTGACTGACTCTCTTCTGTGATCTGAAGGTTCTTATTTGGTCCTCCCTATGGCCAAGATGAATCCTGCATTAGCAGATGCACACACCTCTAGACCAAATGATTTGAAATGAGAGGCTTGGGACAAAGTCTAAAGAGGGCTCAGGTGAGTTAAGAATACACATGGACTGTCCCCAACATGACTTAAGCTGGCCATGCCTGCCTCTCATGCAACCCTTGTGTTTACTTTCAAAGAGGCTACTGTCCAGTTTCCAAAACAGCTGCATCCTATTTGATGGAACTTGAGCTGCAGCAGCAACATGCCCGGCACTTTTTTTCTACTTTTTAAATATTTGCTCGGTGGTTGGGCAAAGCTCTTGCACTCTCCCTCTCTAAACAAATGCACATACACACTTTCACCTCAGAAGCCCTGTTATGATACGAGCCCCTGAGTGGAGAGAAAAAGGAAAACAATTTCAGGCTTACCTTTAAATTCCTGATTTTTGCCACTTTGCCATCAATTTCCACAATAATTCTTCCTCCTTCTTTGGTCTCCCTAGAAACGAGACCCAAACCCATTAAAAAAAAAAAAAAAAAACACGTTATTTTCTTTTTCTTAACCAAGAAAAGAGAAGCTGAGCCCAGTGCTATTGGGACAAAATGTTTCCCTACTCCTGTCTCCATAGCCGCAGTGTCTGTCTCCATAAGTGGCTGAAAGCATCAGATCTACTCCTGAACCTGTGTTCCTGAATCTCCAGCCGGCGGAATCACTCGCACCTGGATGTCATCTGCAGCCCTGACAATCTACTGTCTGCTGCGCAAGGCTCTTCCCACGAGCTCAGTAAATAAGCTTTGCGACCTTCTTTCCACCTCACTTTTGTTTAATGAGATGTTATTCTCTACTGTGACTGCAAATAACAATTCCATTTCAACAGCATGTTCTTAATCTAATCCATGCAACTATAAATTCTTAGTTGCCAAGGAACAGAGAAGTTATTGTGAGGAGTAGTCAATGTTGTTATCCTGAGAACACTTAAAACCAGGTAGCTCAGCTGTTTGGATTGTCCAAAAGGTTGTGGGTTCGATTCCCATTCAGAGCACATACCTAGGTTTTGGTTTCTATCCCTGGTCAGGGAATGTATGGGAGGCAAAAAAACATATATATATATTTTTTTTTCAAGGGCATGTACCTCAGTTGCAAGTTCAATCCCCGTCCTGGGGCATGTGTGTTAGGCAACCGATCACTATGTCTCTCTCACACCAATGTTTCTCTCTGTCTCTCCCCCTCCCTTCCATTTTGAGAAAAAAAATATTATTGGGTGACAATTAACAAAAAGAAAAAAAAAAAGCCAACAAACCAACCTTGAGCCACCACACCTGGTAAAGCAGAAGCCAGATGTAATCAATTTACCAATCTAAAGAGGCAGTTCAGGCATGTGATGCTTTCTTTTTTTTTCTTCATTGTACCCCTTTTACCTTTTTCCTACTTTCTTTTCTGTTTTTCTTGTTTCTACCCCCATCTCACTCCTCTCCTCATTATTCTGTCAGCTACAGGACTTTTCGAAGCCAATCACCTCCATATCAGGACAAACACAATCCCTGCTAGCACCGAATTTTATTATGGGAGACAATACCTTTTTGAGCCTTCTGCCCAATTTTCAAGCCATCATAAGATAGTCCCAGAAATTTGTTAACGTCCCAAACAATTTCAATATGCGCCACTGGTCCCAAATCACACTCTCCACAGCTTTATGTCCTATTACTCACTTCCCTCCACATACCCTCTCCCCAAATAACCAAACTTACCTGTTTCTTAACAGTCTAAGTCCTTTGCTCTCAGTGTTTTACTACACAGTGCTTTTTTTACACCTTCTCCACCTATCAGCAAACTCTCATAGGTCTTTAAAAAACAGTTCATGCATGTATGCATAACCCACGGGCACAGACAGTGGGGTGGTGAGGGTCTGGGGCTGGAGTGAGCTAGAGGGGTCGGTGAGGGAAAAGAGGGGGACATACTGTAATACTTTCAACAATAAAAAATTTTTTAAAGGGGGGGGGGTCCAAACACCAACCCTTCTGTGAAGCTTTCCCTGACTTCCCAAACCTACGGATGCAAAGTTAGTGAAAAGGGGAAGAAATCACGTGGCTGGGCACTGAATGCCTCCAGAGCTGAGAGGTGCAGAATCAGATTCACCCAGGAGGAAACGGGCGCTGAGAGAAGAGGTTAGAATAACTTCCCCTATTGCACGGTTCTGCTGCCTAGCATAGCATGAAACCATTACCTCTCTGGGCCTCAGTTTCCCTCTCAGACCTTACACGCGCGCTTTCTCCACACCTTCGCGGAGAAACCCACGTGCACCCACAATGCCGCCTCGGTACCCGCAGAAGTACCGAGGAGCCACGGGGCAGAGCGCGGAGACTGACAGCCCCGCTCCGCAGCCCTCTCCACGCACCCAGCCAGGCACGCCCAACTCCTGCCTCAAGACTTGGGCTGTGGTCCCTCACATCTGCTGGCGGGGCCCCGAAGCGGGGCAGCCCACCCTGTCCATCCAGGAACCGCTATCCCCCCGGGCACAACGCGAAAGCTCGAGCCGAGGTCTCCCTCTGCCAGGCCTCTAAGGTTTCCGGACCCCGGCGCTGGGCCACTTTGTGTGGGATGGCCCCCCAGCGGGGAGGCGGGGACCTCGCCCTCCTCACTCACTTGACGCCTCAGGCGCCCCCTCCCGCCCGCACTCACCTCTTGCTGAGAGGCCGCACCCTCACGGCCACCCGCACGTTCGCCATCCCTCGGCCTCCGCCCAAGCTTGGCAAGCCGGCCCAGCCGCAGCATCACCAACCCCAACTTAGCCGCAGCCCCGGCCCGGCCACTCCGCCCCGCGCGGCCCACACCCGCCCCGTGACTCCGCCCTGTGGCCCCGCCCGCGGCCCCGCCCCCGCGCGCGCCCAGGCCGGCAGGGGCGGGGCCTGTAAGCTTCCGCCAATCCTGAGCCCAGTAGGGGATTGACGTCGTCCCGCCTCGCCCCGCCCTGCCCGCGAGCCTGGGAGACAGCCACGCCCAAACGCCCGCCCCATCGCGGACGGGGCGGTGTCAGGTTAGCCTCCGCCAATCCTGAGTCCCCGGGGCGGTGGACTCGGGGCGGGACCTCATCCGGCTGGCCAGGACTCTTCCCAACTGGCTGTTGTTCTCCAGCTGCTTGACAATGCTGATGGCAGTCAAGTAAATCCGTTAAACTTCGACGAACGCCTTACCGTTTACAAAGTGACTTGCTAAATACTTTCATTCACCGCATTGGCCCGGGCTGTCAATTCTTTGGGTTAAATTTTAGGGGCAGAAATGAACTGGAGAGCACCGATGTTTTTGCAGTTTCCAGCGAAGAGCAGTCTTTCTTTGAGGAGTCATATGGAGTGAAGGAGCCCACTGGCGAGCTCTCGATTGTGCCGGAAACCTCATGGCAATGTCTGTGCTCGCGGCGGGAATGCTTTCGGACAGAATTGGTTCATTAATTCGTCCAGGAAATACCAAAAGAGTTCAACGCTCTTCTAAGGCGTTGACGATACAGACGTCTAGTCTCCTTCGTGGAAATTGAAATCTACAGGGAAGAGAAGAGACAATGAGTAAAAAATAAATAAATAAAAATGCATACTATGTCAAATGGTACTGACATTTAAAAAAAAAAAAACAGGATAAGAAGATAGTCTCTATGTGTGTGTAGGGGGAAAGATGCTATTTTATATAGGGTCTTCAAGAAAGACCTCACAGGGAAGGTGGCACTTGACTAGATTTCAAGAAAGGGAGGGGGGGAAAAAAGAAAGGGAGGGAGTGATGCAGGTATTCATTTATTTAACAACTGGAGTGCATGAATTTGTGGAAATTAATTAAAAGAAGTATTATATATATATATATATATTATTGATTTTTCACAGAGAGGAAGAGAGGATAGAGAGTTAGAAACATCAATGAGAGAGAATCATCGATCAGCTGCCTCTTGCACACCCCCCACTGGGGATGTGCCCGCAACCAAGGTACATGCCCTTGCCCGGAATCGAACCCGGGACCTTTCAGTCCGCAGGCCGACGCTCTACCCACTGAGCCAAACCGGTCCCGGCTAAAAGAAGTATTTTAATATCACTATTCGCCCTTTATAATAGTAGTGTCAACCAAATTCACGATCGACAATGACAGATCAAAACACACACATGCGTTGGCACTAGTAAGAGCTTTATATGTATCACACATGCACAAGTCAACTTAGCCTTTTATGGCTAAAGAATAATACCCCTTCTGAGAATCAACCAATGAATGCATAAATAAGTGGAACAACAGATATTTCTCTTTCCTTTCCTCTCTCTCAAAAATCTATATAAAAACCAAGCAACCAGAACACTGTAACAACTGGAATGATTGATTGCTATGACAAACACTGTAGCCAGCCAACCAGTTCAATCAGAGTGGCCTCTCCCCTGGCTGGCCACACCCCCAACCAGCCTCCCCACCTCAATGGGAGGGGGGGCACGATAGCTAGCCAATCGCTTACAGCCCCTCCTCCCAGCTGAACTCACCTCCAATTTCCCCAATCAGTCCTCCACCCGGATTGGGGGCAGTGCCAGCTTGACCACTGCCCACAGCCCCTCCCCCCTCTGGCCAGGCCTTATCGGCCCCCATCAAGGGGGCTGGCTGGACCTCACCTGTGCACAAATTCATGCAATTGGTCTCTAGTAAATAAATAAAAAGATTATGCAATGATCTGGAAGAAGGACAATTCCAAAGACAGGGAACAGATCAATGTAAAGGACCTGAGCTTGGAGAGAACAAGGAATGTTAGAGGAACAGCAGGAAAGCTAGTGGGTACAATGGAGTGATATCATTAGAGATAGCATGAGGCCATGGTAAAGTTTTTAGATTTTATTTTTATTTATTTATTTTAAATATATTTTATTGATTTTTCACAGAGAGGAAGGGAGAGAGCTAGAGAGCTAGAAACGTCGATGAGATAGAAACATCATCCAGCTGCCTCTTGCACATTCCCTACTAGGGATGTGCCTGCAACCCAGGTATGTGCCCTTGACCAGAATCAAACCTGGGACCTTTCAGTCCGCAGACCGACGCTCTACCACTGAGCCAAACCGGTTTTGGCCATGGTAAAGTTTTTAGATTTTATTCTAGGTGAGCTGGAAAAACCACTGGAAAGTTTTTTTTTTTTTAATTTATTATTACATTTGTGTCATTATCCCCCCATCTCTTCCACTCATGTCCTCACCCCCCCTCCCCCCTGTTGTCTGTGTTCATTGGTTAGGCCCAAATGTATGCATACAAGCCCTTTGGTTGATCTCTCCCCCTTACGCCATTTTCCCCTACCTTCCCTCTGAGGTTTGACAGTCTGATCGGTTTCTCTGTCTCTGTTTTTGTTCATCAGTTTATGTGGTTCATTACAGTTCATAAATGAGTGAGATTATGTGATATTTTTTACCATTTGCAACAGCATAAATGAACTGGAGATCAGCATGCTAAGTGAAATAAGCCAATCAGAGAAAGATAAATACCACTGGAAAGTTTTGAGAAGAATAAAATATGATTTATGTTTTTGGAAGATTACTCTGCTGCTTTTTAGACTGTTGTGATGAGTGGGGAAGGATGTGAACCCAAGAGAGACCAGTCAGGAGTCTAGTGTAGTGCTCCAGTGGTGGTAACAGAGACAATGAGTCACATCAGACATGTTCCTGAAGCAGTTCACCTACCCAGTCTCTTCTCCTAAAATATTGGGGCAGGGGCAGCTGGTTTACAGTTTAGATGCACTTGAAATCCTAGTCTTCTGATGGCTTCTCTACTCATTGTGCTTTGCAGTGAAAAGAATCACTGCATCAGGGAAAACAGTATGGAGGTTTCTAAAGAAAAAAAAATTACAACTACCTTATGATCCAGCAATACCCCTTCTGAATATTTAACTGAAGAAAATAAAAGTGCTATCTTGAAAATATATTTGCACCTCCATATTTATTGCAGCATTATTCACAATTAGCCAAATCATAGAAACAAACTACGTGTGCCAGAAACAGGGATGAAGACTATTCTATACAATAAAAGCATAATATGCAAATCACCCAAATGCCCGAGCAGCAGAACGACCTCTAAACAACCATCCAGATGATCACCTGGGACCATGCTATGACACCCACTGGCTCCAAGCCAGCCAAGGTGGGTGCAATGCAATTGGTTGGGGGCCCAGCCATCGCCCCATGACCGCCCTGCAGAGGGAGGCCCAGGACACTGACCAGCGTGTTGCAGCAGGTGAAGCCCAGATCCTGGGTGCTGGAGGGAAGCTGGGGGAAGGAAGGCCAAATTTCATACATCAGATGCCTAGTAGCATATATATAAGGTGTCACATAAAAATGCATACTCACTTAACAGCTGATAGCTCATTTTATGTTTATTTTCAAATTTAATATAATTATTCAAAGTGTATACACACTTTGGGGGGAACATGCTAAATTTCATATAAATTACAATTTTATAGGGTTGCAAAGTGATGATAATCTACTTTTACCATTCTTCATTCATGGGTTAAAATACTTCTATAAAAAGAAACTTTTTTAAAAAAAATATATTTTATTGATTTTTCACAGAGAGGAAGAGAGAGGGATAGAGAGTTAGAAACATTGATGAGAGAGAATCATCGATCAGCTGCCTCTTGCACACCCCCTACTGGGGATGTGCCCGCAACCAAGGTACATGCCCTTGCCCAGAATTGAACCCAGGACGTTTTAGTCCGCAGGCCGATGCTCTATGCACTGAGCCAAACCGTTCCGGGCTAAAAAGAAACTTTTGAGGGGAGCTATGAGGGGGGAAAAAGAGGAACACCTGAACAATAAAAATTTATCATATAAAATTTAAAAAAATAACTTTTCATCAACTATTTAATTACCCTGAGGTACAGTTCACATAGCAAAGCAGCACAAATACTTGTTTCAATTACCAATTGTCAAAATAAGTTGGGTTCCCTATCACTTCCAAAAATGGTTAATAAATGACTGATGTTATTTTAAATATTATTATAAAATCATGGATTTAAGCATATAGTCAGCCCTCCCTATCCTTTGGTTCCAAATCTGCAGAGCCAACCAACCATATATTGAAAAAATTATTTTAAAAAAAGCCAACAAACTATAATACATTATTACTGATGTATACTAGGCAGTTAGACCTATAATGGCTGTCTGTATTGAACATGTACAGACATTTTTTCTTATCAGACTGTTTATTCCCTAAACAATGCAGTATAACAACTACCAGATGTATCGGTTAATAAAGTGGATTTTTTTCAATAGTTACACATATGTTGATATATATGCAATTTGATACATATGCTATTTTATTGTATTGACAAGCTTAAAAACTTCATGTCAAATAAAAACTTCATTATGTCAAAAAAATAAATATTTTTACTTAAAAATGTCAAATTTTGCGCCAAAAATAAAGTATTTACAGTAAGTTCTAGTCCATTACTTTATTTTGAAGAAAGTGCTGCTGAAAATTATTGTATATCTACTTTGGGAAGCTTATGGTGAACAAGCTCCATCTCAAGATACTTGTAAATGCTGGTTTAAATGCTTTCAAAGTGATGATTTTGATATGAAAGACAACATCCAAGTCAACTGAAAAAGTTTGAAGACCAACAATTATAAGCATTATTGGATGAAGATGCGTGTCAAACTAAAAAACAACTTGCAGAAAGATTAAACTTTGCTCAGCAAACAATTTCCCATCATTTACAAGCAATGGAAAAGACTTTAGAGGAAGGAAAATGGATGCCACACTAAATGAATGAAAGACAAATGGAAAATCGAAAAATCACCAGTAAAATGTTGCTTCAACGGCACGAAAGACTTTTTTGCATCCAATTTTGACTGGCACTAAAAAGTAGATTTATTTTGAGAATCCCAAAAGCATAAATTATGGGTTGACCTAGGTCAACCATCAACATCAACTACAAGGCCAAATTGCTTTGGAAAGAAGACAATGCTCTGCGTTTGATGAGATCAGGAAGGTGTGGTGTGTTAGGAACTTCTAAAACCACGTGAAATAATAAATCTGATTGCTATTGACAACAAATAATCAATTTGAACCACGTTTTGTGAAATGACCAGAATATGCCAGAAGACACTGCAAAGTAAATTTTGCTTCATGATAACATACCACCATACACTTCAAAAACAGTTAAAGACATGTTAAAAGATCTTGCCTGGGAAGTATTAACCCATCCGCTGTATTCACCAGACCTTGCTCCTTCAGATTAGCACTTGTTCCTATTGATGGCACACGCACTTTCTGAGCAGCACTTCAAAACAAATGAAGTGGAAAATTGGGTCTCTGAATGGTTTGCCTCAAAACAAGAAAAGTTCTATTGGGACGGTATCAACAAATTACCTGAAAGATGGGGAAAATGTGTAGCTAGCAATGGACATTACTTTAAATAAAGCATTTTTGATGTGTCTCTTGAAATTACCGTGTTTTCTTTGATTACAAAATCCGAATTAACAGGTACACATAAGTACTTATCAATAACTACCTATCAATATTAACCTTAATTGTAAATGTAAATGATTAAATGCTCCAATCAAAAGACATAGCTGAATGGATAATAAAACCTGACTCAAATGTATCCTGTCTACAAGATACTTACCTGAGGGAAAAAAAAAAAAAAACTCACATAGGATGAGAGTGAAGGGATGGAAATTTTTTCATGCAAACAGAAATGGAGAAAAAAGCTGGGTTAGTAATACTCATATCTAACAGTCTCAAATAAGATATATAACTATTTTATCACTCTAGATTCCAGTATAGCATCATCAGAAGTCTGTCAAGTTAGTCTTCCAGGAAAGACTCAAATTGGAAATCATTTCCTAAAAGGAGGAGAAGATGTTTCCAAAAGTACAGGGGAAAATATAACTTGGAATGGGACAAAAAAGAAAAAGGGAAAATTCAAAGAACTCTAAAATGTGATGTGCCTATCTCAAATTATACTATTTGCAAAGTGAACTTGATTACATGAGTGGACTCCCTAAATGTGGAGTAACTTATTTGTCTTAGTTATCTCAGGATATTCCACAATACATTAGTTTCACTATTAGCTGCATATCGAGAGACCCCTTGGATTTTCCTATTCCTCAGAATATTCCTATTTTCCTGCCTTTAAGATTTGAGAGGATAACAGGGGTCTGGCAGTGCTATTCCAGAGGAAATAGTAAAATACAAGTGTTAGAAAGACCAGGTGGCAGCATAATTGTTCCAGAAGAGTCCTCGCAAAGTGGCATCATTATTATGCTGAAAGGGACACACTTCCAGTGCAAGTAGAAAGACATTCCAGAGCTACTTTTTTAGTGTCCACAAGTCTAAAAACTGAATTAAAACAAAAAATTGATCAGCACTTATTGACTACAACACAGTACAAAATTATTTTTTCTCTATTAAGTTGACTTCAGGCTCAACTTACCTCAAGCTTTTGTGAGTCAGACAACCTGTATTGCCTATACTTTTATTGTGTAAGTTAGAGAATCTTTCCTTCCTATTGCATAGAATTCAAGTAAGGGCCACACAATTTTAGTTAGAAATTAGATTTATTTTCTATTTTGCAAAAGACATGATATATGTATCACTCTTATTATAAATGATATAGTTTGTGTACAGTATGGGGCAAAATAGCTTTACAGTTGGGAGTATACAAAAGTTTATTTTATTATAAAAAGCAGACTTGAACAGATTTCTGATGAAATACAACTAAAAGTTTTACTTATGTGCTAGGCGATGTTTAACATGTTATGACCAGTTTATATCCCATTTATAAAAATCAAGAAAGTAGGTTCAAAAGATCCCTGGTTGTTTTAGTACGATATATTTTGGCAATGATCACGTTTCCTTATGAACAACTACTTTATTCATCCATTGTGATGAGTATAGGATTGGTCAACCTCTGTGATACAGAGACTGTAACAGTATAAAAATAACGACCCAGTGTAAGTAGATGAGGAATCAACTTTTTGGTGCGTGGGATGATGCCCAATCCACTGCACCACACCAGCCAGGGCTGATGCACACATTCTTAAAACAAAGAGAACCCCACATCTAAAAATAAGCCAGGAATAATTACAGTATTGACACAAATGGATACATCCTGAGGTTTAGTATTAGTAAATATTAGTATACCACTTCCTTTTAGACGCACAATAATCTCAGATAGGTAAAATACCAGATTACCTCGTAATATAAACCTCTAAAAGAGCTACCATAATGTGCCTTTTTCTTTGCCTCTTTCTAAGGCTGTCAGTGAACACCCTCAGGAATTGCTCAATGTGTCAGAGTCACTACCCAGGTTTGATAACATGCTTGGAGGATTCACAGAACTCAGCATATCACTGTTTTCATGGCTATAATTTATTACAGTAAAAACATAACATCAAAAGAGCAAAGGGAAAAGTTATACGGGACAAAGCCTGGGGTAAACCAGGCACAGATAGCTTCCAGAGTCCTCTGCCAGAAGTTACATAGGATGTGCTTAATTCCTTCAGCACCTGAGTTGTGACATTGTGCAATGTCTAATATGAAAGAGATGCCAGGCTCAGTTATTTCTGCAGGCTAGTAACATAGGTATGGTACCTTCTGCCTAGCATGTACCAAAATTTTAGACTTCCAGAAAGAAAGCAGGTGTTCAGCACAAACCACACTGTACAAATAGATTAATCAGAGAAAACAACTATTATTATTGAGAGTGGAGGGAAACCTCTGGAAATTTAAGTTCCCAGATACCAACAAAGGACCCATCTTGCAGGCAAGCCTTACAAAAGATAGTATGTTACTATTTTTTTGCACATTTAGTGACAATCTCACAGGAATAATCAATATATATTTAGATTCAAGACTCCTCTAATTCAGAAAAAAGAATTAAAAAAAGACATATAGAGTCTGCCTGAGATCTGGATAATAGACTCATGTAATTAACTGTCATAGTTATGCTTGATCTTCATAAGTTTTATTCAAAAGTGGAATGAAAATATATAAAGAGCCATAGCCAGTTAGGCACAGTAGATAGAACACTGGCCAGCAGATTAAAGGATCCTGGGTTTAATTCTGGTCCAGGCACATATCTCAGATGCAGGCTTGATCCCCGGCCCTGGTTAAGGCATGTACAGGAGGCAACTAATCGATGTATTTCTCTTACATCCATGTTTCTGTTTCTCCTCCTCTCTTCTACTCTCACTAAAAATCAATGGAAAAATATGCTCAGGTGAGGATTAACCAAAATAAATAAAAAAATAAATAAAAAATAATATGTGTGTGTGTGTGTGTATATTATACACACAAAGGAAAATTTAGTTTGGCCTTAATGAACTTGGAATTTTAGTACTTTTACATAGAGGACTCTTTCAGTATTGCTAGCAGTAAAGCCTATAAATATCCATGTTATCATTGACTAGATTTGGAATTCACATGACTACATACAATTAAGCAAAAAGAAATCATTTTTGCTTATTGAATCAGTTGTATCATTTGGCATTAATAGTTTGGACACGAACTTTTTAATTTGCATACTCATTGGCTGTGGGAGTAGCGAAGGTATGGTCAATTAGCATTTTTCTCTTTTATTAGTGTAGATAATAAGTTACATCTTCAATTTGGTACTTGCAATACACCCATGAGGAAGATAAAGAAGGTGTTATGTTGTTATAATATATTTCTGAAGATAATTTTCTTCAGCTAATATTTTTGGGATACAAGAAGAAATTTCCTTTTGTTGTTCTCGCCATTTGAGTATATTCTCTGCCAGTTCTTCTGTCTCAGTCACCAAAATATCCATCTTGGCTAAAGCCTTGCTCATTTTCTTTAGATTTGTGTTTAAATGAGGAATATTTCTAATTGTTTCAAGATGGGTTTCTAATTTCTCAATAAAAGTCACAGCCAACTCCAGCAATTGTACCATGTATCTGAAAGAGGGAGAAAAAAAGTCAATTACTATTTTGTTTTAGTGTAGCTATTTTGTGTTCTCTTTTCCCCCTTTTAATTAGGACTTTCAATATGAGATAAAATAATTACAATCAACCTAATGAGTCAATTATAACCTTTCTGCATTCATGGAAAAATCAGTGATAAGGCCATTTCAAATTCTTAGTGATGAGTGAAGACAATAAGAACAAATATACTTCACTGAAATAGTCTACAAATAAAACTACTTTGAATCTCTGCATTTGCAAGATGCTTTAAAATCATTATTCAGTTCTTTTGATATATAAAATGTATAATATGTACTTTAATGGTATTTTACTGTACTGAATAGATACTGAATAAATCTACAAGATTGGAATTTCTGTATCTATTATATTACTGTAAGATTAAAAAAAAAACAAAAAAACCTGAGACTCAAGAGAAGATACTGATTTGCTCCGGGTCAGTTAGTGAGGCACTGGTGGAAAAAGTCAGCAATCAGATTTCCAGATGCCTGCTTCTTTACTTTATTACTAACTAGGGGCCTGTTGCAGGAAGATTCCTGCAAGTGGCCACCACTGCCCTGCTCTCGCTTTCCCTCTGACAGCCGCCTTGCTTTCCTCTTTCCCTCCCTCTTCTATGCTGTCTTCAGTCTTCACTCCTCCCTCCCTCAGATATGCAAATTAACAGCCATCTTTGTTGGGTTAATTTGCATACTCATTGGCTGTGGGTGTAGCGAAGGTACGGTCAATTAGCATTTTTCTCTTTTATTAGTGTAGATAATAACTTACATCTTCAATTTGGTACTTGCAATACACCCATGAGGAAGTAAGGAATAGAAAGCAGCTATGGACTGGGAAGCTGAGGCAAAAAATTTAAATCATTTGTCTAAGTCTTCCATGCATATAAACAACAGAGATGAGACCAGAACTCAGTTTTTTCCCCTCCTTTAGTTGATATTGTTTTCATCTGTCCCTGCTTAAACTTCCCCAACATAATTTGTATATACAGAGTGGGACAAAAGTAGGTTTACAGTTATTCATATGGAAAATAATAACAATAATACAAGAATTAGCTCTGTGTTTCGAATACTCACAATTGTAATCCTATTCTTGCCCCACCCTATAAGGCAACATTAATGCAACAATAACTTTACTTCATAGAAAACAGTCTATACATAATCTACAAGGCAATAAACATGACTTTACCCAATTTACTCTATGTTATGGATCTAATTTCTATCATTAAAATCATTATTTATAATTCCCAAAACACTATGAACAAAGGAATAACTTTCTTTTCACCATAGCTATACTTTTATTTATTTTTTTAAAATTTATTTATTTATTTATTTTTTCTTAAATAAATTTTTATTGTTCATATTATTACAAATGTTCCTTCCCCCCCCCCTTCCCACCCCACCCTCTTCTCTTTCCCCACCCCCCATTGTCCTCATCCATAGGTGCACAGTTTATGTTCAGTCTCTTCCACATTCCCCTCTCCCCTTTTCCCCAAGAATCATCAGTTCAGTCCCCTTCCATACCTCTGATTCTATTATATTCAACAGTTAATATTGTTCCTCAGATTTTTTTTTTTAATTTCCTTGGTTTTTAGATTCACTTGTTGATAGTTACATATTTGTTGTTCATAATTTTTTATCTTTATTTACTTTCTCTTCTGAAAGAACCCCCTTCAGCAATTCATATAATTCTGGTTTGGTGGTGGTGAACTCCTTTAGCTTTTTTTTATTAGTGAAGCTCTTTATCTGACCTTCGAATCTGAGTGATAGCTTTGCTGGATAGATTATCTTTGGCTGTAGGTTCTTACTATTTATCACCCTGAATATTTCTTGCCATCATAGCTATACTTTTAAAGCCACGGATTTTCTTTCTGGTTTAATGTATCAGCATTAATAACAATGTTAATAGATACAATCACTAATATGTTATTCAATGAATTATGCTATGAAAAAACTACTCGTTTCAACTACCTTCAGAAAACATGTAGTTGCTAATATCTACTTTTTAGTCTGACCTGTGGTAAGCTGCTTCAATAGGCAGGTTTTCCTGGCACATGGGTTTCAACAGTCTTTGCCGGAGGGACCTCTTCTCTTTCAGCACTGCTTCCAAATGATTATTCATGCTTTGCAGAGTTTGACACTTTTGAGCTACACAAACCAGAAACAGTAATTATAGTTAGCAACAGGACAAGTAAACATTTCTGTTGTTGGTAATCCTCTCTCAAATCCTTGAGTGATTTTTAGAGAGAATGGAAACGAGGGGAGGAGGGAGAGAAAATGAGAGACATCAAATGGTTGCCTCCCACATGTTCCCTAACTGGTGCTGGGGATCAAGCCTGCAACCCAGGTATGTGCCCTTGACCAGAAATGGAACCTGCAACCCTTGGGTGAGAGGCCTAGTGCTCTAACCTCTTAGCAGACTGGCAAGGGCAGAACAAGCACATTTTAAAATCATTAGTAAATTCTACTTTGGCCGAAGCTGGTTTGGCTCAATGGATAGAGCGTCAGCCTGCAAACTGAGAGGTCCCGGGTTCGATTCCAGTCAAGGGCACGTCCCCAGTGAGGGGTGTGCAGGAGGCAGCTGGTCAATGTTTCTCTCTCATTGGTGTTTCTGGCTCTCTATCCCTCTCCCTTCCTCTCTCTGTAAAAAATCAATAAAATATATATATTTTAAAAAATATTCTTTCCTTTAGTTTAATACAGCCAAAATTATCTCACCATTGCTCTCGTAAATACCTCCTCTTTGCTATTCCTAATATCAATTTCATTTTATCTTATTTTTCCTATTGACAACCAAACCTACTGTTAAATCTGTTTTTTAACTCTACATCTATTTCAGTTTTACAACCAGTGCTGTATTCTTCAAATAATGTCTCCTTTCCTATCTCTGCCTCTAATATTCTACACAAACATTAAAAAACAAATAGTTGTCTTGTAAGCTATTTCTGATCATTTCAATATTTGACCTAGAATTCAGTTAATGGCCTCTTCTTTTAAACTTTTACTTATTTATTTTTTGTTAATCCTCACCTGAGGGTATGTTTTCCACTGATTTTTAGAGAGAGTGGGAAGGAGGGGGAGAGACAGAGAGAGAGACTCATGGACTGGTTGCCTCCTGCACCTGCCCTAACCAGCGTTGTGGATTCAGCCTGCAGCTGAGGTATATGCTCTTGACTGGAATAGAACCCATGACCCTTCAGTCCTCAGGCTGAATGCTCTAATTAGCTAAGACTTAAATTTTTAACTTTCAAACTTAAAGTTTCAAGAATAGTTTATTGAACTGCCATATACATTTCACCTGGACTCACAACTTGATAACACTTGAATATAGCCTCTCTTTTTTCCTCTTTCTCTCCACACCTTTACATATATATTTTTGCTGACCTATTTGAGAGTAAGTTGCAGAGATCATGAACTTTTACCTTTAAAATGTCAGCATATATTTCCCATCTCTTATATAAACAAGTATCAAATTCAGAAAATTTATCATTGGCACAATACTCTCAATATTTAATATAGCCCATATTCAAATATCACCAAGTATCTCAATAATGTCCTTGACAGCAAAAAGGTTTAATCTATGGACACACTGTGATTTAGCTGTCAAGTCCATTTAGTCCCCTTTAATCTGAAAAGTTTCTCAGCCTTTTTTTGTTTTTTCAAGTTCTAATTTTGAGGAGTTCCCACGTTGGTCACTTTTTATGCAATTTGCACTTGCAAGCCATCAGGACTTTTGTTTGAACATAGAAATAGAAAACTTTGTTAGCCTTGGGGCAACACCTGAAAAAATAATGGTATATCATAATGCCTGGTGCTTATTTAAGGTAATCCAGGAAAAAGTTGAAATTCCAATAATTACCCACCCATTTAACCAAACCACTTACCCAAAAAAGAAGGATGAACAATGTCTGCTGTATCTTTTTCTAGTTTTAGAAGTTCAATTTCCAGATTTTTCTGCATTAGAAGCAAAAATAATATTTACCTCACTCAGAAAGAAGCCTGATTAAAGGATAATCTCTGATAAAAACAGACTTTAACCAGGAATATTTAGGGGAAGAGGGAGAAGGATGTGTTATGAGAGCCGGGGGGATTCATTAAAGCTTTTCACATTGGTGTGCAAGCCCTGCTGCTGTTTCTGCTACTACTACCAACTACTGCTGTTACTATTACAATTTCATTAACAGGAAACTACGTAAGTAAACACCTACCCAGTTAAGTACTAGAAACTGTCCTAAGTGCAAGAGAATTGCTGTTGGGAACAATTAAGATTTATTTTCCTGTAATAGAAGTAATAAGTCCAACATAACTTACCTGATTGATTTCAGCTTGAATATTTGTGATCTGCTGTAGCCTGGAGAAGTTCACGAAGCAAGGAGTTGATTTCTTAGATATATCTAGTATCTCCTAATGAAAAGGAAACAGAGAAAACAGCAGCATGTCACAAAAAGTTCCTATGTGCACTGGAAAAGCGTGCCCATGGGTCTAAAATGTAAGCATATATTACATCCATCACTGCCCCTGAAAAAATGCAATACAGAGTACAACAGAAACAATGTTTATTTCCTGTTTTTAAAACCTCCATAGCACAAATCATTTGCCCAAATATGAAAAAATAAGTAAAAAAGACTTAATCATTTTGTACTATTTCCTAAAGAACAAGGCACAACAGATTTGCATTACTGATAGTTTATCAGAGGATTTTAAGGCTGAGTTTGTTGGAGAAATACTCCTAAACAAATAACCAAGACAGTCTTTGACCTTTTTGGGGCTAAAATCAAACATTCCCTCCACCCCTCCCACCATAGAATCATTTATCAAATTCACTAAATGTTCTCAATTTGCTAAAATCATTCATACTATTTCTTTTCACATTCTTGCTCTCTTAGGTAAAGGAATGTTTTGCACAGACATAATTACTCTTCTGAAAAGACTACCCCCTCCTTTTTATCCTTTCATTTTATTTTATTTTATTTATTTATTTTTTAAATATATTTTATTGATTTTGTACAGAGAGGAAGGGAGAGAGAGAGAGAGTTAGAAACATCGATGAGAGAGAGTCATCAATCAGCTGCCTCTTGCACACCCCCTACTGGGGATATGCCCGCAACCAGGGTACATGCCCTTGACCGGAATCAAACCTGGGACCCTTCAGTCCCCAAGCCGACGCTCTATCCATTGAGCCAAACCGGTTTCGGCTATCCTTTCATTTTATATTACTGTTTCCTTAAATTGCAGGTTATCTCAGAATAAGAATATTATGTTGTTCATCTCTTGGCTTCATCTATCATTTTCTGTATCTTCTGCTTTTCTAGAAAGATAGCAGAGGAAAGAACTTTAGAGATCATATAGGACAGGGGTTAGGAAACTATAGCCCATGAGCTAAATGCAGCCAACTGCCTGTTTTTGTACAGCCCATGAGCTAAGAACGGTTTTTATATTTTTCAGTTGTTGGGGGAAAAATCAAAAGAAAAATAATTTTTTTGTGGCATATAACTTAAAATTTTAGTGTCCAGAAATAAAGTTTTCTTGGAACTCAGCTTCTCTCATTTAATTATTATCTATGGCTACTTTCAGACTAAACCAGCCTAGTTTCAACCATATAGAAAGAAAATCCTTAAATATTTACTCGCTGGCCCTTCATAGCAAAAGCTATGAAGTATGTGCTCAATCAATGTAATAATCAATAAATCAAGATATTTATTGAGATATGAAATGCAAGAATCAAGAATGAATAAAAAGCCTGGCTGGTGTGACTCAATGGTCGAGTGTTGACCAATGAACTAGGAGGTCATAGTTTGATTCCCAGTCAGGGCACATGTCTGGTTTCTGGCTCGATCACCAGTGTGGGGTGTGCAGAAGGCAGCCAATCAATGATTGTTTCTATCTCTCTCTCCCTCTCTGTTCTCTCTGAAATAAAAGAAAAAATAATAATAAAATGAGCTCTTTGCCATTAATAAGTTCCTGACAGATGGAAAGGAAAAAGTATTCCAGATAAAAAGACTTAACATTATAAATGCTCAATAACTATGTTAGTATTAACATATATTGGGTGTCCCAAAAATATATATACAGACACTTTGAATAATTATAAAGGCAGTGTTTATTAAAATACATTTCATTTTCAAAATTGAGCCATCAGCTATTACACTATGTATACATATCTTTGGGGCACCCTGTATGTTTTTCTGTGGTTATGCAAGAAACTACATTTCCAAATTAATCTTTACTTTTGACATACAGAGTGTCCAAAAAAACGTATACACACTTTAACAGCTGATAACTCAATTTCACTCCTTTTCAGGTTTAACTGATTTGAAATAATGGGTGAGACCAGACTAAGCTTTGAACAAAGAAAATTTATCCTAAAGTGCCACTAGACTTTTTATTTTTTTGGAGACACATATAAGATAAAATTTATAGTACAAAACTGGTAACAGTAGATGAATTGAAAGCACACAAATACCAAACAAAATGATTCTTGATATTTGCAATTCTATTGCTTTGCATTATCAGCAATGCCTGATAATTTCATCAGTTTGAAAACAGGCACTGACAAAAAAAAAAATTATTCATTTCTGTAGATTCTTTTAAATTTTGAAAATGAACTGACTTTATAACCATTCAAAGTGCGTACACATTTTTTTAGGACACATAAAAATGTAAGTGTGGGTAGTATCTATATATATAAAAGGCTAAGTGACTGACCAATTGACTGGCCAGTACATATGACGTGCACTGGCAATCCTATAATAAAAGGCTAATATGCAAATTGTCCCCTCTACTGGGATTTCTCCCGGGAGTTCAACCAGGGGGCAGGTGGATAGAGGGTGAGGGTGGCCAACTGCCTGCAGCCCCTCCTCCTGGCTGGTCCCACCCTCAATCCGCCTCCTCTATCCCTATTAGGGACAGGGCCGACTGGCCAACCACCCACAGCCCAATCAGGGTGGGCCAGTCAGTGTTCGTGTACTTTGCCTTTAATGAAAAATAAAACTAATAGGATTGGGGAAAGAAAAAATGGGGAGTGACATCTTAATGAGTATGGGATTTCCATTGGGAAATAATAAAGAATAGTTTTGAAACTAGTTTCACAGCATTGTGACTGTACTTCATGCCACTGAATTGTACACTTTCAGATGGCTAAAATGGCAAATTTTATGTTATGTCCATTTTATCCTATCTAAAAAAAGAGTACCCTGTTTCCGCGAAAATAAGACAGTGTCTTATATTAATTTTTTCTCCCAAAGTTGCGCTAGGTCTTATTTTCTGAGGATGTCTTATTTTCGGGAAACACGGGTAACATGGGTAATATACAAATTACCCATCACTCCACTACACTCACAAGCCACGCCCGCCAGCCAATTAGGAGTGAGAATGCAAATTAACACAACCAAGATGGCTGTGGCCACAGAGCGAGCAGGAGGCTTGGGTTTCTCCAGCAATGGAGAAGCCAAGCTTTCCGCACACCCTGGTGGGCCCAAGCCTCCACTCAAAGCTAACGTTTCAATTATAGAGGATAAATAAATCCCAACAAAAATGGCGGCAGCAACAGAGCTGGAGGAGCAGGAGGCTTGAGTTGCCCCCAGTGATGAAAGAAGCCAAGCTTTCCCAGCCCTGGCCTTTGCTTAAGGCTACAAAGTTTCAATTATAGAGGATAAATAAATCCCAGATCCCAGGGCCTCTGTTTGGATCGCCGGGGGCATGGCTGACCTGTAAACCATCACAGGCTCCTCACCCAGGCCATCCCACGCCCCAAGGGAACCCCCACCCTGTTCCGGAACACCCTTCAGGGCAAACCAGCCGGCCCCCACCCATGCACCAGGCATCTATCCTAATAAAAGAGTAATATGCAAATTGACCATCACTCCAACACACAATATGGCTACCTTTGACATGTGGTCAAAGATTCTGCCCCCATGTGGACACAAGATGGCCGAAACAAGATGGCCAGAAGGGGAGAGCAGTTGGGAGGGACCAGGCCTGCAAGGGAGGGCAGTTGTGGGCAATCAAGCCTGCAGGGGAGGGCAGTTAGGGGTGACCAGGCCAGCAGAGGGAAGTTGGGGGCAACCGGGCCTGCAGGAAGGGCAGTTGAGGGAAACCTAGGCCTGCAGGGGAGAGCAGTGGGGAGGGAGGGTGAGAGAAACAGGCATGCAGGGGAGGGCAGTTGAGGGGGGGACCAGGCCTGCAGGGGAGTGGTTAGGGGGTGATCAGGCTGGCAGGCAGAAATGGTTAGGGGCAAACAGGAAAGCAGGCAGGTGAGCAGTTGGAAGCCAGCAGTCCTGGATTGTGAGAGGGATGTCCTATTGCCCATTTAGGCCTGATCCCAGTAGGATCCTCCCGGCAGGATCAGACCTAAACGGGCAGTCGGACGTCCCTGGAGAGGTCCCATATTGAAGAGGGTGCAGGCTGGGCTGAGGGACACACACACCGTGCACAAATTTTGTGTCTCAGGCCTCTAGTTAGAATATAAAGCATTCTGGTAACTAGTCAACAAGATGAAACAAAAAAATAAAAAAAAATCTAATAGAGGAGTGAAGATTGGATATTTAGATAAGAGGCTGCTATAGCATTCCAGGTGAGAAGATGACAATGTGGAATAGGTCAATAGCAGTTAAAAAGGAAAGTGGGCAGAGAAATGAATCCCTGGGAAGATAGAATTTATAAGTCCTAGTTGATATGGGTAATGAGGGATAAAGTCAAGTTAATACTGACTCCAAAGATGCTGCTTCAGGTGACTGAACAGTAGTTAACCATTCACTTAGGTAGGTAACACAAGATATTTTACTGATGGCAAAGACTGAAAATTGTGAAAGTTAAGTGTTGTTCAACTTCACACTGTCAGTGTGCATCAGGGCTGAAATGAGAACCATCTAACACACTACATTTCCATCATACCCTCTTTTCTTCTGCTCTTAGGTAGAAGTAAATGAAAAGTAAAATATCTTCCATTTCTTATTGTAACCTACTCACTCTCCCCATAATGTATACACTAATCTTAGTTGCTCATTTGCAAACTAATAAACTGATGGGTTCAACAAGATAATGGAGCTTAGCCAAAAACTTGTAATAGAAACCAGAGGGAAAATAAGAATCTTCAAGAAAGAGAAAGAGAGAGAGAGAGAGAGAGAGAGAAAAGGCATTAAAGAGCAGCCAATTCCTCTAGTAAACAGAAATTCTAACTATTTAAAGATTGCGACTAAGCCCTAAAATATATATATTTTAGAAAATAGTAGATCCTGGGTATTTTGTAGATTTAGATCCCTATCTTATACATTGCCAGTAGAGGGAGCTTTGATCAAGATTCCATGACTAACTCAAACTTGCCTGAAAAATACCTAGAACATGCATGTCAAACTCAAAGTCTAACATGGGCCAAAAAAACAAGGTTTAAGTTTATGTGGATCACAAAAAAATAAAAGTTTCAATTTTCATAGAAATGTAGGTTTATTTCGACAGAGACATCCTGAATACAAAGGGCTGAAATAAATGAGTAATCGTTAACAAAATAATAGAACATTTTAATAAAAATTAATATTTTTTTCCTGAGCATTAACTTGCCAGACACTGAATAACTGCACGAATTAATAAGCGTCACGCAAATAAATGTATTTTTCTTTTCTCCGAAAGCTAAATATTTCCTGTTGCACACACCAAACAAGTCAGACCAAGACTGACTACGTGGCAATTGGCTGCTAAAATATTCCGTTAGTATTAGCGGAGAGAAATTGTGGGCCTTCAAGTAAGGGGCATAAGGGAAATGAATGCAACACAACTATAGTAACCAGTCATTAGCGAACGTTGTGTTCGTTATTAATAATTATGTCTAAGAGGATATTGTAAAAATTAAGTTACAAATTTTTTTATTAAAACTGCTTCTTGTAAACCACTTTTAGCATAAAAATTGGTACTGATGTGTATACAAATAAGAAAGTCTCGGTTTGCATTGTTTTCAACATTTGTCATTTAAGGTACCTGTGCACACTTGTTAGTATTTCATTGCTGTTTAACACAACCTAATATTTCACATTTAAAGACCAGTTGAGTAGTTAAGAGATTTTCTTTTTGAAAATGAGTCATGTTGCGTTATTTGAAATTCAAATTTGTTGTGCTGCCCATATTTGAAGATGAGGCCACCGACTTATGATCCATGGGACATGCACTTTATGTTGTTTCCTTAGTAGTAACATTAGGTTTGTGAAAAGAACCTCAGCACTCTTGCCAAATTTTACTTTTGAGGCTGGTTGGGGTTTGGATTAGTGTGATTATGGAAGTCTTTGTTTGTTTATTTGGAAAAAGCTAATGGGTCCCATGAGGAATTGAACACATCCTTGGCCTTTAACAAAGTGAGCTTACTACCCAGGTATAATCAGATACTCAAAAAATAAAACAAGTCTGCTTTTAGGAACCTATCTAGTTACTTTAACTGCTGTCAATTTAGCTGTGAAGATGATTTCAAAGCTCATATTTTCATGTTTTCCTCTTGCTTTCAATCCTACCTATCAACGAAATTAACTTGTAAATGTGGTAGTTGTTTGCTAAGGATATGTACTGCTCTTGCAAGGAAATAATGTTCAAACAAAGCTTCACTTATTTTTTTTAATATAAGCAGAAATTACTGTTTATGGCACTTATATAATACATTTTATCTTAAAAAATAAAAAAATAAAAAAATAAAAAACTGCTTCTTACATACCATTATATTGCCTGAGCTGTAAAAATATTCATTGTGGGCTGCGAGTCTAACATGCTTGATCTAGAATGTAAGGCCACTAAAGCACAAAAGCAAGCAAATATTCCATATTATTCTACAATTAATCCTTTCTTTCACTAAATCATTCTCCCATGGATAGATCAAAACTCAACAAGCTATGTTTCCTAGAAGAATTGTATCACAACAATTTTAAGCATTACTCTTAATTTTTAATGCACATGGAATGATGTGCACTTAAGAAATGGACTGTTTAGTCGAAGCCGGTTTGGCTCAGTGGTGGGGCGTCTGTTTGCGGACTGAAAGGTCCCGGGTTCGATTCCGGTCAGGGGCATGTACGTTGGTTTCGGGCACATCCCTGGTAGGGGGTGTACAAGAGGCAGCTGGTTGATGTTTCTCTCTCATCGACGTTTCTAACTATCTCTCTCCCTTCCTCTCTGTAAAAAAAATCAATAAAATATATTTAAAAAAAAAAGAAATGGACTGTTTAAAGGGATCATATAATGCATCATTTTGAAAGAACCTAATTTAAACCCTTCTAATTAAAGCAGATTTTCATATGTAAAGTTGCAGTAAGTCTGTAAGATGGTTTCATGGACCTATGGATTGGCAGAACTTACCTAGGCAAACAGGTAATTAGTATTACTTGAAGGATATTAGGAAGCTCCTCCCCAGAACAACCGCTACACTACACTAGTGGTTGGCAGAACCAAACATCAACAGTACGATATGTACACAGATAATAATTTAATAAAAATAAAAATAAAAACATCAACAGTACGATTGAAATTTGTTTTGAGAGTCAAATTTTTTAAACTTAAAACTAGATAGGTAGGTACGTTAACTTAATTAGGGCACGTGGTATTTTGTGGAAGAGCCACACTCAAGGAGCCAAAGAGCCGCATGTGGCTCGTGAGCCGCAGTTTGCTGACCATTGCACTATACCAACAAACAGCTCACCTATCAATTCTCTCACAAGAGACTTATTCCTTTAGTTTAGGTGTTTATTTATTAATCTTCTGTCAATAGCTCTACAGGGATAAGTCCCAAATGTCTTGTAGTATGGGTTTGTTAAATTCCTTTGTTGGAGAACTGGTAACAAGTGAGAGTACTAGGCAACTTGGTAGGAAGAAAACACAGGAGAGAAGCGAGGAAGATAAGAACTGGTGAGCTATGTAGTTACATTTTGCCTATTTTCCAATGTACTCATTACTACACCTTGTACCTCCATCACACCATCTATAAGTTCCTGTTACTAAGTCTTCAAGTAATTTAGAAGAGTTCTTCAAAAGAAGTTTAAACTTTCAACATCGTGTCACAGAAGTTATGTATCACAATTCATCTTAGAGATGCTGTCAGAAAGGGAGAATTCGGGTGCCTAATCCTGCTTCACTAGATAAGTGACCGTGGGCAAATTTCTTGGTCTCCTTAGGCCTTAGTTTCTTCTCTTCTACTGTAAGGTAGTAGAATGCTCTAAGTATAAAAACGTTGTTTCTTTTCCATAAATCTTTCATCATGTTTATATTGTTCATCCCTGCAGGTGATTTTAACTTTCTACTTTTCTGTTTCCTTTCTTAGTGATATTCCTCAATTTCCTCATTATTAAAATTTTCTTTATTTCCCTCAATTCCAATTCCCGTGTCACTTTTGCCACGTGTATTCCAGTATTCCCTCACATCTTCCATTTCCCCCTTTATTGGCTTCTTCCCTTTGGCCTATGCACATGCTCTTGCCCAACCTAACCCATCCTAGCCACCCCATGCGCTAATCTCTGGTCTCTCCTTCTCAAAATTAATCCCTTCCTCCATTCAGGTTAGGAGGTCTTTCAGGTCTTTATCACCAATACTTTTGTGAGGGGCCTTTAAGATCTTGTCTCCCCTGGCGCTCTCAGCGCCTCCCGCCCCAAATATGCTTCAATACTTCACTTGTTCGGAACGTATGCTTTATTATTTTTTATTTCTTTATTGATTAAGGTATCACATATTTGTCCTGATCCCCCCCCCCCATTCCCATCCCAAACCCCTCCCCACGCATACCCTCATCCCCCCGTTGTCCATGACCACTGGTTAGGCTTATCTGCATGCACACAAGTCCTTTGGTTGATCTCTCCCCCTTACCACCACCCTCCTCTCCCCTCCCTCTGAGGTCCGATAGTCTGATCCATGCCTCCTTGTCTCTGGGTCTATTCTTGTTCATCCGTCTGTGTTGTTCGTCAATTCCCCTAGATGAGATCATGTCCTACTAGAAATACACTTATAAGAACCGAAAAGAGACAAGCCATAATGGTTATGCTGAAAAGCAAATGAATCAGTCTGTAGTGAGTTTCTTTCTGGGCCAACAGTTCTTTTGAGACCCAATTTCAATGTCAAACAATTCCGGAACGTATCCTTCAATTAGACGGTTTCCCAACCCGCCACTCACACAATCTAGAGAGGGTAGCACTAGATGAAAGAGAGAGGGGAAAAAAAAAAAAAAAAGGCGGGAAAACCGGTCTTTATTATTTCCCACGCACAGACCTGGGATAACTCGCCCGCAGACACCCGAAACCCCGTCTCTTCGAGTCACCACGTCCTCAGAACCCCGCTCTAGCAGAACGGTACCTGCCGCGGCCCGGAGCGGGCTCCACCTGAGCCTCCTCCATCCAGGACAGCCTCGGCCAGCACCACTTCACGGCCTCCTTCTGTCGCCACCGGGGCACCCCCTTAATGACGCCATCGCCGCCCACGTACCTGAGTGACTGTGCCCGTGGCCGCGAGATGGCCCAGCAGTAGCCCCGCAGGGTTTGGCGCGGACGCCGGGTCCCAGGGGTCGGCCGCAGCCATGCCGGAGACGCACCTCCGCGGGCGGAGCCCGGAGTGAGCGGAGCGCCCGCCCGACGCGCCGCGCCGCGCGCTTCGATGACGTCACAGGGCGTCTCCGCGCAGGCGGAAGCCCGGGAAGCGCCTGGCAGGCTCGCGCGCCTCCCGGGTCGTCTTCGGAGCCCTCCGAGAGCGAGTGCGGGGCTCCCCGGTCCTCCGCAGGCTCCTAGCGGCATCTAGCCTCGGAACGGCTGCTGCAGCGACAGGGCCTGGTGGTCGGGCGGCCTGTCCTTCCCTCTCCCCCCCGCCAAGATTCCTAGTTCTGCGGGAGGCGCCGCCTAGGGTAGGAGCTGCAGCCGGGAGGCCGAAGGGGTGGCTGGCTGCCTGGCCCCGGCGGTGACAGCTGCACTTCCTCCCCGCAGGGACCGGCGCCGCGGCGCTAGCATGGGAAACAGTGCCCTCCGCGCTCATGTGGAAACGGCGCAGAAAACTGGGGTCTTTCAGCTTAAGGACCGTGGGCTGACCGAGGTGAGACTGGGAGGGATCGGACCTGGGGATTAAACGGGAGATGGGGTGGCGGGGGCGGTGACGTTAATCCGCGAGGGATTCTCAGCGCTCTCTCTCCAGTTCCCTTCAGAGTTACAGAAGCTGACGAGCAATCTCAGGACCATCGACTTATCCAACAACAAGATCGAGAGCCTACCGCCTACGATCATAGGGAAGTTCACGCTGCTGAAGAGCCTCTCCTTGAACAACAATAAACTGAGTATGGCTTTTGCTACTACTGCTCAGCTGTTAGGAAGGGTGGTGCTCTCTTACAAGCTAATTTTTGATAGGAAATCGTTCCGATTTCTCAAGACGCAGGAGAATGTCAGAGCCCTTGAAGTTTTCTCTCGTATTTATATCTGCAAGCCTCTGGTGGTAAAATGATTGTACTAAGAAAATTTGGACGAGGCAGTAGAAGTGGAGGGACTTCCAAATCCCACAAAATTGCCGTCAGGTTGTGCGGAGGTTCCTGTTCAGAATATACACATACATGCTTTCTTGCATTTTGATGGCACTCTCACCTTCTGAAGACTATGTTAGCAAAAATGCAGTACTTTAAAAATGGCACAAGTGGGAATTCTGAGTATGTTAACAATGGGCATAGCAGGCTGCCATGTAGTTTTTATTAACTTCATCAAAGGTGTTTTTCTGTATCAGATTCAGGTTTTTATGTGGTGGTTTTTGTTTTTTGTTTTGTTTTGTTTTGTTTTTGTCTTTGCCAGCTGTTCTTCCTGGTGAGTTATGCAATCTGAAAAAACTAGAGACACTAAGCCTAAACAACAATCACTTGAGAGAGTTGCCGTCTACCTTCGGGCAACTGTCTGCCCTCAAGACCCTGAGCCTCTCTGGGAACCAGCTGCGAACACTTCCACCCCAACTTTGTAACCTACAGCACCTGGATGTGGTGGATCTCTCCAAGAACCAGATTCGGAGCATACCTGACATAGTGGGGGAGCTGCAGGTCATCGAACTCAACCTCAACCAGAACCAGGTCTAGAGTTTAAGGGTTCTTTTCTAATATATATCCTGAATAACCTTTTTTTCCCTCTAAACTGTAATCATGGAGCTGGGCATTAGAAGCTGCAGCGACAGGGCCTGAAAAGCAAATGAATCAGTCTGAAAAGCAAATGAGAAGTATATTCTGTGGGCTGGACTAATTCCAAAGCCCAAAGTCTCGTGGAGATAGTTGAGACACTAGTTGTGTTTGCTATGTATTTTAGAGGTTGGGATGGTAACAGGGTGCTAACTTCAAAAGTTAAACTTCTGTCTCACAAATCTTGTAGAGTTCTACAGATCCTTTTCAAACATGTCTCCAGTCATCTAACAAGGAGTTGTCAGGCCCAGCAAGCATGGCTCAGTGGTTGAGTGTTGACCTATGAACCAGGAAGTCATTGTTCAATTCCCCATCAGGGCATATGCTGAAGTGCTGGAGGCAGCTGATCAATGATTCTCTCTCATCATTGTTTCTCTCTCCCCCTCTCCCTCTCTGAAATCAATTTTATTTATATTTATATATATATATATATCTTTATAATAAATATGGAATATGCAAATTGACCACTTCAAGACAAAAGATGGCGGCACCCACAGCCAATAAGAAGGCCCAGGTCTCGGGTGCCGGCAGCCAAGGGGAGGAAAGCCTATTCTTGTACAAATCTTCGTGTATCAGACCTCATGTGTGTGCGTGTGTGTGTGTATGGAGCTGTCAGAAAGAATGGAAAAGAAGCTTACACTCATAGGCTCTCAGAGTTAGATATCAGAGGTAATCTGTTGTCCTGTTTTGGACGTCTTTGTCAATGTGTGTTCTGCTTTTGTTAAGAAACAATCAGCAATAGGCATTCTGGAGACAGCTCATTTCATTGTTGGACAGCTTTATTTGAAATTTGTTTCCAATACTTTGGAAGCTCTTTGGTTATTATGTATAACTGGAGAAACAATCTTTGTTTTTGACATAAGACACAGATGATGAAACATTAATCATAGTGAGATAGGTGGCCTTTAGTTTTTGTAGTGTCTATGCTTCTAGATCTACAGCAATATCATTAGCCACATGTGGCTATTAAAATTCATTTGAATTAAAAATTCAGTTCCTCAGTTGCCACAAGCCATATTTGAAGTGTTCAAAAACCATGTGTGACAGTGGATTACCATATTGGATAGCACAGATATAGAACATTCCAATCATTGCATAAAAGTTTTATTGGGACAAAATTATCCTAGATTGTAGTGGCCTTAAGTTATTTATAAAATTCAATGTCTTTGAAGATATTAGCCTCCTCTTTTCCTTACATGAATATTCTTTTTTTTTTTAAAGTATACTTTTGATTTTAGAGAAGGGAGAGGAAGAGAAACATCAATGATGAGAATCATTGATGATCAGCTGCCTCCTGCACACCCCACACTGGGGATCAAGCTCACAACCCGGGCATGTGCCCTTGACTGGAATTGAACCTGGGACCCTTCAGTCCGCAAGCTGACACTCTCTACTGAGCTAAATGAGCTAGGGCTTAAATGAATGTTTTTGAACTTTTTAGAAAAATTGCCTATTTTGATGGGGGGGGGGGGACTTGAAAAAATTGTTAAGCAACAAGTATTTGTTGAGCACTCATTCCACATTCACCTATGCTGATGGTTCTCAGATGTTAGTGTGCCTCAGGAGAGCTTGTTGAAAGAGATCACTGGACCCCTCAATGTTTCTGATTCAGTAGATCTGGGGTGGAGTCTGAGAAGTTCCCAGGTGATATTTAGTGGGGGAAGGTACCATCTGAGATGATACTGGGTGGAGTAAATATTATTTGGTGATTTGGAATATTTAATGGGCAAAGAAGTGAATGAATTAAAGATACTTGGCTTATTACTGAATTTGAGGGCCTAAAAAGAGCGATGCTGATGAGAATAGACATGTTGTGTTGATTATGATGGTGCAAATGGAAATGTACTAAAAATTGGGAGACATAGGAGTGGAATAGAGCTGAGAGATTTGAATGTAGATATAGACTTTGAATTCTTAACAGAAATGATGGCTTTAATAATAAATGGATGGGCTTTCTAAAAGAAAGTTTAGACAGACAACCAAATATTAAGTATTAGAGGCTACTGCTTGAAAAATGTCCATAGGAACAAGAAAGGAAGCCAAAAATGAGGAATAATTCAAAAGTTAGAAAAACTCAGGACTTATAGTAGAGGGTTTCAAGGAAGGGATAGATAGTACAGTCAAACATTTATATACACATAAAAAGATTGGCAGTGAATGTACCAAAATGTTTATTGCTGGTAGATGCAGTTATTTTCTTTAAATTAAAAAAATTGATTCTCAAGTTTTCTATAAGAGTGCTTTTATTATCAGAAAATTTTATTTCCAAAAAGCCACTGGTTCAAAAAGCAAGTCCTCCTTCCTTACCTCCCAAAAAAGTGGAAGAGTTGAAACCGGTTTGGCTCAATGGATAGAGTGTTGGCCTGTGGACTGAAAGGTCTCAGGTTCAATTCACGTCAAGGGCATGTGCCTTGGCTGCGGGCACATCCCCAGTAAGGGGTGTGCAAGAGGCAGCTGATCGATGATTCTCTCTCATTGATGTTTCTAATTCTCTATCCCTCTCTCTTCCTCTCTGTAAAAAATCAATATAATATATATATTTTTAAAAAAGTGGAGGAGTAGTCACAGATGCTACATGACAGAGGTTTCTGGAATGAGTAGGTAGTATGAAAATGGAGGCGGTAAAAAAAGAACTAGGACAAATTGTCAAGTAAAGGGTTTTTTTGCTTAAATTTAGTAAAAAATAACCATTACAGTGTTTATAATTTTTCCTGTTATTCTTTTTTATTTGTTTAATAGATATCTCAGATTTCAGTAAAGATATCTTGCTGTCCTCGCCTTAAAGTTCTTCGCCTGGAAGAGAACTGCCTTGAGCTCAGCATGCTTCCACAGAGCATCCTCAGTGATTCCCAGATATGTCTGCTTGCTGTGGAAGGCAACCTTTTTGAAATAAAGAAACTTCGAGAACTAGAAGGCTATGATAAGGTATGTAGTCATATACTTTTGCATTTCTAGTCACTGCTCCAGAGAAGAGAATGGTGAAGTAACCTACATGAATGTTTATAGCCACAGGCTGCATGGATAATCCTATTTATCAACAGGATTTGTTTTCCATTTCGGAGGCGAGTTCTAAGAGTTAGCCAAATTCTTGAACCAAGATGTACTGTATACTCTTGTATTGTACCAAGATGACTTTTTCTCTAGATGGTTTATTGTAAAACATCTTTGTCTTTTGATAAGTTTCCTATTAACCCTTTGCACTCCGCTGTCCCCTCTCAGGGGACATCGGAATTCTAGCATATCACTCGGATGTCCCCTCTCAGGGTACATTGCAGTTTATTAGTGATTACGGGGAATTGAGTTAATTCAACACACATTTCCGCTGAGTAGCTGGTAGCCAATGTCCAGAATGGTTCGGAGTGCAAAGGGTTAAAATATCAAAGCTTAAAAGTCCCCAAAACTATGTGCTTTAGATTTGCATTTAAAATAGGTAGATTTTTGTAGGAAATGAGGGACCATATCCAATGAAAACTAAATGGGGAAAAAGAAATCATATGTTAAAGGTATTTGCTCATGCCAAAACACCACTTATATATTTTTTCCTTTCATGACTTTTAGTACATGGAGAGGTTCACGGCCACCAAGAAGAAGTTTGCTTGATGTTCTCCACAAGCATGGGAACCCTTGTAGGACGTTGATTTGGAACCTGCTGCAATCTGGCTGAAGCTGTTGCTGTCAAGGATGCCTGCAGTAAGGAGCTGATAGTCCAGAAGATTATATTGCATTTGATCTCTTTCCTTTCCAGAGCTTACCTTAAATAAGCTAAAAGGACTCGACAGACAGGAAGAATTCTGCGTTTTGAGTCATGAATAGGGAAATGGACAATGTTGGTCTTCAAATCATCATTAGTTTGGTTTTAAGAAACCAACAGCTAGTTGCTATTTATACAGTGAGGGGATGCTGCCTGGTAATAGAATAGCTCCCCGTCACAGCTTGAAATTTCATGTGTACTTGCAATGAGTGAGCTTTCATAAAATCAGCTGCCATCCCACTTCTGTGTTAACATTTCCCATTTTTATGATATTGAAATAACTTGTTGAAAGGCTGCTATGGTTAATCTAAGGATCTGTGTTTTGTTCCAGTCCATCAATTCAATTAAGTATTTATACTTGGAATTTAGGATGTACTTATATAAATGTGTGACTGTCTTGATTAAAAGTGTACCTTGTCAGAGAAGCTTCAATACAACACTAAGATGTTCCCAAGGCTGCAGTAGCAACTTCTTTACTACTGCAGGTGCCTTACTGGTAGAGGGCTCTGAAGAGCTAAAACCATGTATGCAAAACTTGTAAGATACAAGGGTTTTAATAATCAAGATTTTCCTGAAGTTTTGTTAAAAATAACCTTATTTCTGGTAATCCTTTTCTCCTTTTTATATTTTATAACTCTACTAATCAAAGTATCTGTCAAAAAGCAACTATAGTATTTTAAAACAACCTATGTATATCAAGTTTATTCTCTGAATGAGAAAATATATTAAATAAAGAATTTTTAATGAACTTTTTGGCTGGAAGGAAGGTTCATCCTTTAAAAAGAAGACAGGAGCCCTAACCAGTTTGGCTCAGTGGATTCAGAGCGTCGGCCGGCCTGCAGACTCAAGGGTCCCAGGTTTGATTCCAGTCAAGGGCATGTACCTTGATTGTGGGCACATAACCAGTAGGAAGTGTGCAGGAGGCAGCTGATCAATGTTTCTCTCTTATCGATGTTTCTAACTCTCTATTCCTCCTCCCTTCCACTCTGAAAAAATAAATAAAGTATATTAAAAAATTAAAGACAGGAAAACTAACTTGTAAATGACCTTTTGTTTGAAAATAAACTGATTAGGAAGAAATGTTTCATGTTGAGGTTGCATAAGTACTGCAATGCCTTCATGAGACTGATAAACATCTTGTGGTAGTAGAACCATATTTATTAAGAGAAACTGAAGGTACAGTTAGATGGTTTCAAATTTTTACTGATAGGAATATTTATAAAGCTACCACTCTGTCATTTTTTGAAGTTTTGTCTTATCCAAGGGGCTATTATTTACAATATACTTACAGTTCTTGTTTTACAAACCTTGTTTGATCTTTATGTCATAAGATCATAGGAGTCTAGTATTTAATCTACATGAGGAAGTTTCTCTGACCTTCAGTCTGGTCTGGGTTTTTTTTTCCCATGTTATTTTCTGTTTCTCAAATCGGGGAGGAATAGTTTATCATTCTTGAGTTTTATTCAAAAAATAAATTTTAATGCTTAATCTTATTGATCATTTAACTAAACACTTAACATTTCTCTATTTTATCAGTACTTATCATCTAATAAATCAGAACTTATAAATTAAATTTAAATGTCCCCAGCCACTTAATTACTAGTTGGAATTTAAAAAAATCTCCATGTGAGGAGCAGAGTGGCGCAGCGGAAGCGTGCTGGGCCCATAAAAAAATCTCCAACTCATCCAGCTGGTGTGGCTCAGTGGTTGAGTGTCAACCTATGAACCAGGAGGTCAAGGTTCAGTTCCTAGGCAGGGCACATGCCCAGGTTGCCAGCTCAATCCCCAGGGTGCAGGAAGCAGCCAATCAATGATTCTCATTATTTGTTTCTATTCCTCCCTCCCTCTCTGAAAATCAATAAAAAATATATATTTAAAAAAATCCCCAACCCTATGAGAATCAATTACTACCTTTCACAACTTGGACCCAACCTTATTTCCAGATATCCTTTCTTCACTCTCATTCATCTGCCTAGTCATACCAGGTCATTCTACTCTTTAAATCCATAATGCAATGTCTGTCCTTTAACTGCCTTTATACATTGGTTGATCAGTCAGAAATGCCTTCTTATTAACATGCTCTTTCCCTGTCTAAGCCCCTTTCTAATTCTAAGCTGAATTAACTGCTCCTCCATCTGTTACAACAGCACTTCTCACATTCTGTATCCATCTGTCTCTTGCTAGACTGAACTACTGATGCCAGGAATTACATAAAGTAATATATCCAAAGTTAAAGTACAGGAGTATTTACACTTAAAGATGAACCAACAGCCAAAACTGGTTTGGCTCAGCGGTAGAGCTTCGGTCTGCGGACTGAAAGGTCCCAGGTCAAGGGCATGTACATTGGTTGCGGGCACATCCCCGGTAGGGGGTGTGCAAGAGGCAGCTGGTCGATGTTTCTCTCTCGTCGACATTTCTAGCTCTCTATCTCCTTTCCTCTCTGTAAGAAAAAAAAATAAAAATGAACCAACAAAGTAGGTTGACTTGTGGTCTGGAGACCCACATTTTATTGGCCATCATCTACGTTCTTTTAGAGCTTGGGTGGAAGTCAGTGTAGATTAAGATGATAGGCCTTGGAGTAAGAAAGACCCTGGTTTGAACCCAAAAATCTGTCACTTAGTAGCTTTATGAATTAGAGCAATTTATTCTCATCTGTAATATGGGCCTCCTACCTTTCAGGTATGTTGGGAGGATATGATGAAAAGATACATAAGGAGGCATTTAGCACAGTACCCATGACAGTAAGCATTTAATAAGTGGTACCATTTAGTTCATCTGTAATGTATTAAAATAGAATTTAGCAAGTTGTACAGAAATGGAAAGCTTTGATCAGATACAAAGTTAAAAAGGAGAATAAGGAAATTGGATATCAATTTGAGAAATATAAATCTGACGAAAAATGTATTTGGGGTAACTTAATATTCTAGTAAGAGAGTGACCTGAAGAAAATAGGCACATCGATTGGCTGTCTCCTGCACACGCCCCACCGGTGTGGCTCAGTTGTGAGGCACTGTCCCGTGCACATGTTTCGTTCCCAGTCGGGCACATGCTGGGGTTTCAAGCCCAATCTCCAGTAAAGATTGTGTAGGAAGCAGCCAATGGATATTTTGCTCTCATATTAATGTTCATTCTCTCCCTCTTCCTTCCTCTCTCTAAAAATCAATAATTCTTTTTTAAAAAGCAGCTCTGGTCAGCATTGCTGTGTTTAGAGCATTGGCCCCAGCAATGAAGGGTCACTGGTTTGATTCCTGGTCAAGGGCACGTATCTTGGTTGCAGGAGGCAACCAATTGATGTACCTTGCTCACATTGATGTTTATCCCTCCCACCTCCTTTCCTCCCTCCACTATCTAAAAATCAATGGGAAAAAATATCCTCAGGTGAGGATTAATAGAAAAGAAAACAGCATTAAAACAAATAGAAACTAATTCTAAGTACTATTCCGTATACGAGGTCTGGGAAATAGACATTTAAGTTAAGGGAATATTCACAATCCAAATATGACATGAAAATATCTAGAGTTGAAGTGGTAATAAAGGATGAATTAAAACTGAAGAAAAAAGGCATGACCATATGGGATAAGACTGAAAATATGAAGAGAGCGCTTATTGTTAAAAAAAAGTAAGTAAATGCTTTTAGCAAGGACATTTAGGTACAGCACAATCCCGGTGTTTTATATCTTCTTACTTTACACATGGTTCCATCACTTGCCAAACTACTCTTTTTATCATGGTGCATTTCTATTACAGAGGATCTAAATTAATCTCACTTTATTTTTATTTTTTATTTTATTTTTTATTTAAATTATTTTCCTCTTCATTCCCATGTTAACTCTATCTTCTCTTTTTTTAAATCCTCATCTGAGGATATTTTTCCATTGATTTCGAGAGAGAGGAAAGAAGGGGGAGAGACAGAAATATCCATATGAGACACATCGACTGGTTGTCTCCTACACATGCCCCACCAAGACCAGGGATTGAGCCTGCAACCGAGGTACATGCCCTTGACTGGAATTGAACCTGGAACCCTTCAGTCCGCAGGCCAGCGCTCTAACTACTGAGCCAAACAGACGAGGGCCATGGCCGGCAAACTGCGGCTTGAGAGCCACATGAGGCTCTCTTTGGCCCCTTGAGTGTGGCTCTTCTACAAAATACAACGGCCTGGGCGAATCTATTTTGAAGAAGTGGAGTTAGAAGAAGTTTAAGTTTAAAAAATGTAGCTCTCAAAAGACATTTCAATCGTTGTACTATTGGTATCTGGCTCTGTTGACTAATGAGTTTGCCGACCACTGTATCTTCTCAAGTGGGTTATAGGTCTCTCATAAAAACTGTCCTTTCAGTCATCAGTGTATTGAAGCTCAAATGAGGAAAAGACTAGTAATGATTAAAATGTACCTCATGACAAATCATAGAATGGAAAGTCTTATCAGTACTTCCAATAAAAATGGTAAAGATGCTTTCTCTTGGGAGTGCCTCTTGATTTATGGACCTTTCCTTTACTCAATTTGTTACATAAGAGCTGATGAAATGGTTTCTCTCCCCCCTCCCTACCCCCTGCTCTAAAAAATTCACAGAAACACAACTATTTTGAATAATTCCATTAGTTACAAAATTTAATTGTAAGGATCAAGCAGTGGTTATTGGTCAAACCAAACCACATTAATAGTTTTGATGTGTACAGGTACCAGCTTTTAAATAAAGGTGACAAATACCAACCAGATTCTTATAACACTGTTCAGGATCTAAACAAGTGTGATTCTGAACATAGTTCAATACACAAGGCTAAAAGAATGATAGTGCAATCATCAATAATAAAAACAAAGGCATAATTTTCCAAATCAATTTTAGTTCA